CTTGAGATAGCTGAGAGAGTGCCACATTCTTTAGCCATCTTCTCCTTGGGTCTCTTACCTCAGATTCCCTGCTCTCTCTTTATATGTAGTTTAAGTGATGTATTAGGGGTACAACTTTCATTACAGTGTCTAATAAGGGTGTGCAATTTTTCGTTTATTGTCATAAGTCATATCAAATTCGTACTTACGATGCATTATCCATCACACCAAAAACGTAAGAATTTAAACTCACCCAGTACTTTTTCATTTGAATTTTGTAAATCTCAGAAGCCTCCCAAAGTGAGTTTCATTTTCAGTGCAAGGAAGGAAAGCAAAGCCTAAAATGGCTGCCTTTCCTCTTTAAATTAATGGTCTCTTGCTATTAGGAAAGAGAAGCAGCAGGGAGAAAGTTGGGTTTGCTGGGAAAGAGACTGAGAAATCACAGAATTCTGGGAAATGTTGTTTGGAAAGGTGAGGAGCTCCATGCCAGAAAATTCAAAAGGCCCTGCCCTATAATTCCCACCATTTTGCTCAGCATCAGAAAGCCCCAATCATGATAGGGGAGAGATCTGTCCCTCCATAGTAGCATCTAGGAAGAGTTCCAATAAATTGTTGAATGTACAAAGAGGAGGACTGACTGATACATTCAGAAAGTAAATCTCTCTGTGCTGGGCTGGGAAGAAATCCCTAAATGAAAGTTCTATTTGCTAATATGAGAAACTTTAAATGAGATAGCTGTGGTGGCTTATTTCTTTTCTTTTTTAAAATGTTTTTGTCAAAACTTTTTTAAAAAATCCTTAAAATCGATAGCTATATGAATATTTCTGAAAGTTGGGAGAATTATCCCCTGTTATCTCATGTCATTGTTTAGAAAATTCAAGGAGATAGCTCTTGTAGTATTTATTTTACAAATTGTGTTTATAAAAACTTTGAAATTTCCCCAAAGTTCTGTGGATAAGTGAAACATTCTGAAACTTGATGGGCTAATAATGGCAAATGTGTTCTATCATTGTAGCATGTTTCACCCCAACAGCTGTAGACATGAGGGAGCAAGGAGCCCCCGAATTTTCCCCACTTGTGCAATTACTATAATGAAAAAGTAACAAAAGTTCATTACTCTCATTATAGTAACAAAATTTTCACTAACGATACTTTAGAAACAAAACACCAGCATCCCCTAATTTTGTAATGAGTTTTGAAACATTTTTTTCATCAATTGCACAACCCCAGTGTCTAATTGAAGATTGGATACATTTGTCCCTCATTGTTTCTTTCAGTTTTTCAACTTTTTTTAGACCAGCACTGAAATGCACCCAGCATTGAGAAAAGGCAGAAAAAAATGGTCCAGCTTGCCTGTCTCATCCAATAAAGTCCTAAGTTTGTTAAGGCTATGCCTCACAACATGTCTTTCAAGCCACAGTACAGCCAATGAAAGCTTGTCTCCATGTTCAACTGACATTGCTCTGGCTTTTGAAGGAGAGAAGAGCAGCCAGACAGCCTTGGTCAGCAACTAAAGAGAGGCCCTCTCTCTATATCTCAGCTGCCATTGCTCCAGCTTCTGAAGGAGAAAAAAGCATCCAGCACATGCTGGATTTAAATTCCTCCTTGTGTGTCATGTCTAATTGTACTGTAAACCTCAGGGCATGTGATTAATGATCTGTGAGCCACTCTGAATGACTTTCTGGCTAAAAGGTTTGTCAGCAAATCAGGGTTCAGGTACATAGGATGCCTGTCCCTTTAAAAACCATCCCTTGTCAGTTGGAGCAGTTGGAACTATGGGGAAGCCGAGCATTCCTCTTCTTCCTTTGATCTCTCTGCTAGACAAATCTAAAGATGGTTGGAGCATGACAGAAGTTCACAATTGCAGTGAGGAGACACAGTGAGGAACCCTAAGAAAGTTTGTGGAAACTTAAAGACAGGTATACAACTGTAGTTGTGGGACAGAATTAAATATCAAGAGTTCCTCTGAGCACATGCTCAGCCTTGGAGTATCTTCTACGCACCAAAATTGTGCCCACAAACAAAATCGATAACTTGTTTATTTATTTATTTATTTAGGGCATTTCTACCTCGCCCTTCTCAACCCCCGAGGGGGGACTCAGGGCAGCTTACAAAAGGCACAATTCGATGCTGGCAAAACAGATAATAAGATAAAACATATATCAACAACAATTATAAAACAATTAAAACAATCCAGTTATACATCACAATTAATAAAAACCAGTCTAATGATCAACGTTCTCCAAGCTCAGAATCCGTAATTTCATTCCGCATTGTCAAATCCTATCCAATTCTAGTCATCATTGTCCTTTGTCTGTCTGCCAGATTACCCAAAGGCCTGGTCCCATATCCGTGTTTTTAGTTTCCTTCTAAAAGAGAGGAAGGATGTCGATGACCTAAGTTCCCCGGGAAGCAAATTCCACAGGTGAGGGGCCATCACTGAGAAGGCCCTGCTCCTCGTCCCCACCAATCTCACTTGTGATAGAGGTGGGGTCGAGAGCCTCCCCAGAAGATCTTAAACTCTGAGGCGAGATGTAGAAGGTGATGCGTTCGAAGAGGAATGCTGGGCCGGAGCTGTATAGGGTTGTGTTCCCAACTTGTGTTCCCAACCCATTCACCTGACATTCCTCAACTGTGTATCCTATTTTAATGATCCTATTTTAATTATTCTTGTGATTCTGAAACAACTGAGCGTTAAATCCTTTGGCAGAATTTCTACAATTAATATAGACCTCTATCAGTAGATTCCGATCTAATATCTTCCCACACATGAGATAACTTGAGAGAAAGCCCAGTTTAGTGGGTCCCTGGGGAAAAAATAATTAAGTGGGATGGGTAATATCTAATCCTCCACATATTATTGCACTGTAATTCCCATTTGCTCTAGTTATGATAGCATGTGTGGATGCATATGCTGGTGCATGTTTGGAGCTGCAGTGCAACAAACTCTGGCCTGCCATAAGCTGTTTACACCTCAGTTACAATATTTATTTGATGGTAGCAGAGCAGCAAGAAGCACACCTTTATTATAAGGGGAAAAATCCAGGACTAGAATGTTTAAGTCATTTTGTCAAAATAAAGTCTAAAACATGTCTATTCAAAGCCACAAATAATTTATTAATTTTAACATGAATTCTTTTTGAAAATCTCTTTTTGAATTTTGATTTTAAAATTCATATAAAAAACTCTAGATTGGCAATGAGACTTATATTTAAAAAGCCAACTCTGAACCCCTCTATAATGGATAACTATCAGCCAGTGTCCAACCTCCTCTTTCTGAGCAAAGTTTTGGAGTATGTGGTGGCCTCCCGACTCCAAGGATTTCTGGATGAAATGGATTATCTAGATCAATTTCAATCTGGTTTCAGGCCTGGCTATGGAACAGAGACAGCTTTGGTCACCTTGGTGGATGACCTCTGCAGACAGCTAGGCAGGGGAGTATGTCCCTGTTGGTTCTCCTAGACCTCTCAGCATCCTCCTTGGCTATCTCAGTTATATGGAACTGGGAGGACCTGTTTTACAGTGGCTCTGGTCCTTCCTGGAGGGCTGTACCCAGAAGGTCATGCTAGGAGAGTCCTTTTTGAACCCCTGGCCATTGTCCTGTGGGGTTCCTTGGGGTTCCATTCTGTCCCCCATGGTGTTCAACATATACATGAAACATCTGGAGTTTTGGAGCACGGTGCCACCTATATGCAGATGACACCCAACTCTACTACTCCTTTCAACCCAATGTCAAGGAAGCTGTTCTGACCTAAACCAGTGTCTGTCATCAGTGATGGACTAGATGAGAGCAAACAAGTTGAAACTTAATCCAGACAAGCAGAGGTACTCCTGATGAGTCAGAAGGCAGTCCAGGGAATAGGGATCCAGTCTGTGCTGGATGGGTTCACACTCTCCCTGAAGACACAGGTCTGCAGTTTGGGAGTTCTCCTGGACTTGGTGCTGAACCTGGAGGCCCAGGTGTCAGCAGTGGCTGGAAGGGCCTTTGCAAAATTGAAACTTGTGTGCCAACCGCACCTGTTCCTTCAAAAGCCAGATCTGGCCACAGTAGTCCATGCCATGTCAGGATTACTGTAATGCACTCTACATGGGGTTGCCTCTGAAGAGTGTTCAGGAAACTTCAGTTGGTCCAAAGAGCTGCAGGTTGCTCACTGGAACTGGATACAGGGAGCAGGGAACCCCTGTTGCAGCAGTTCCACTGGCTGACAGTCTATTTCCAGGCACAATTCAAAGTGCTGGTTATGGCCTTTAAAGCTGAGACAGTTCAGGTCCAGTTATTTGGCAGACCACATGCCCTTGCACAAACCTGCCTGGACCCTGAGATCTCCAGGAGAGGCCCTTCTCTCAGTCCCACCTACATCTCAAGCTCAGTTGATGGGAACGAGAGAGTGGGCTTTCCTTCTTGGTGGAAAATGCCCCTCGACTCTGGAACTCCTTGCCCAGGGAGGCCAGAATGGCCCTCTCCCTGCTATCTTTCCAGCAGCAGGCTAAAACTTTTTTTTTATTTAAACAGGCATTTAAAGATCTAGTCAGGAGATGCTATGGTTTTTAACTTGTGTTTGATGGATTTTAACTGATTTTTAATACTGTTTGTTTTTAATTCTGTTTTAATGTTTGTATATTTGTATATTTTAAATTGGATTCCAATGCTTTTATGTCAAACAGCTTTGAATCCTCTTTGGGGAGATAAAGCAGGGTATAAATAAATATTGTCATCATCATAGTCATCGTCATCAAAGGATTTGGGTAACCAAATGTTCAACTTTTAGTGGCAAACTTTTGACATCTAAATGTTCAAACATCAGAAGCCAAGATACAAAATTAGGTGAAGACTTACTAAAGCCCAGGTTTTCAAAACTTTAGATTTATATCTATTTTAACCCCAGATAGGGACAGGGCAGGTGAAAGAGAGTGATGGGCTCCAAAAGGGAATGTTTGATTATTGTTTTGTGTGTTTTGGAGGTCAATGAACATGGTGACATTTCAAAGTGGTTCCTGAGCATATTTTAAAGACTGAGATCATGGATTCCCTGGAGGAGAGTGAGGAAGAGGATGACATACAAAAACCGTTACAATCTCATGAAACCTATTTATGTCAAGGTAAGTCTAAATTGCATTAGTGTGTAGGAATATTCATTCATTCATTCCCTGGCATTTTCCCAATTTATAACGGAAGATGTTTTTGCAGGGTGCAGCAGGGCTGGAAACCAAGTCCTCTGAAGAATGATTGAAAGTCTGGTGGGATTAAAGGAAGCCATTACAACTTTCCAAATATCTGATAGACAGAAACGGAGCAGACTGAGAATAAGCCATTTTTAAAAACCCTAAGTCCTGTCTAATTCAACCCCCTGCTACATGGAAACCCATTGTATTTGTTCACTGTAGCTTCTAACTGTTGCGGTTTATCAGTCTATGCGGAAGCTACCCAGTAGTCTTCCCAGCCCCAGCCTTCTAGTTGAATCATACAGAGTCAGAGTAAAAGAGAAAACAAAATTTACTCTTGAGTAGTCAGAGATAAATATGCAACTTTACAAAATAACCAGCCTTGAAAATATAGTCCATTGCAGCAAAATAACTCACACAAAAGTCTAATGCATTAAAATCATGCATTCTCTGCTTCTTCATTGGTGCAAGGAGTCTTGTAGTAAATTGTTCTGGATCTTCAGCAAGTCCTGTAATATAGAAGTCTCATCCGATCTCTTCCTGATCATCTGATCACCATCTCTGAATACACTAGGAAACACTCCTCATGATATACTCCATGCAGGGAGTGGCTCGAGTTTAATTGCTTAATTGTCCAGGTGTTCTTCCTCAACACGCACCCATACAGGCAATGATCCTTGTAAAAACTTAGCATACATATGCACATCCTGTAATACCAACAACAACAACAACAACAACACATATTATTTATTACCCTCCTCTCCTGATGGTTTGAGGTGGAGTACAACAAATTGAAAAAAAAGGAAAACTTTCACCAAACACTGATACAGAATTGACATATAGTACTAACAATAGAATGTCAATTAAAACTCATAATTGGAAGTTGACTTAGTAGGCCAAAGAGAAGAGATGGGTGTCCAAATGTTTTTTTAAATTCTGACAAAAAGAACTAGGTTAAAACTACAAGAAAACAGATTTCAACTGAATATCAGAAGAAATCTCTTAATATTTAAATCTCTTTAATATCAAGTCCTCACCAAAGCAATTTAAGGAGAGACAGGATGGCCATCTCTTAGGCACCCTATAATTGCATCCTGTATTTGATCCTGCATTAGAAAAGATATTAGATTATGTTAGTGCTTCTCTAACTTTGCTGCTCCAGACAATTTAGGCTTAAACTCCCAGAATTCCTCTCTGTTACTATTATGGCTGAAATCTAAGACATCTAAACAGCCACAGTTGGAGAACCATTGGATTAGAAAACCATAATACCTGTAATTCTAAAATCTTGTGTCTCAAGACCCTGCTTCTGATAGGATAGAGGAGGAAACAAGTTCAAAAGAAATAACAGATGAGTCTTTTCCCCTCCTTTTTTCTTTCCCCTAGGCTTGAAACAGCTCTACCAAGCTCAACAACTTTGTGATGTCACCTTAGGAGTCGAAGGACGACGCTTTCCTTGTCATAGGTGACTCTGAAATATGAAGATCATGTAGATGTATTAGTAATAGTAGTAGCAGTAGTAATATCCTGCCTTTTCTCTCTTAAAAGAGACTCAAAGCAGCTGTATAGAGCACATTTTCATGTAGAGATATTACACATTTCCACAGTGCAATAGATAGTGTGGTTTCCTATATCCCACCCAATGTGCTATCTCATAGGTAGGATAGTAGTTTGGTTCAATTTGGACTTCTATATTCTCTCACACTGAAGCAAGATCTGGACTCCAAGATCCAAACTCATATCACCCACCAACCCTTTGCCATGGCTGTCTTTTAGGCTCCATGCAGTTCATAGCACAGGCGTATATTCATAAAGACCTTAAGTGATGAAAAATGAAAGTGGAGTTGATAATGCACCCCATTTCAAAATAGTGGACACTTCACAATGATAAATATCTGGAAAACGGGAATCAGACAGAAACTTGTACATGGGACAGGTGTGGGACAGCTTCAAATATATGAATTGAGGCAAACATTATCCACAAAGATGCTGCCTACATGCTCACCATTATGATTGCTTTGATAGGTAGGTACGCATGTGAAGTTGGATCTTTACAGTGCTTGTTCTGCATCTGTGGAATTCCTTCAGTAGTATATGTTCACTCAGTAACTTAAACTGGCATTATGCATCAATTCCAACAGACACGAAACATCAAGATTTTCCAAACTGCTTTTGACTGAATAAAGTTGTCCTGCTCTAATTTCAACTTGAAATTTCTGTGTGTGGCCAGGATGGAGAAAGTGCCACCCCGGTGACAAACTTTTGATGCCCATGAAGCCTCCCATCATTGTCCCAAATCAACCTTTTGAGCGTTTTTGTCCCCACAACTTCTTAAAACTCTCCCATCATCTTTCAAATAACTTCTTTCTTCTCTATGAAAGGGTGACTCAAAGTGATATAATATCCTTTCTGGAGGACATGTTTGCAGGCAAATGGGGAAGATATTTTGGCTTACTCAGCCATAGAAAAGTAGAACCTGTAATGGTGCAGTAGCCCACCATCATTTTTCATATTATGTTAGAAAAATTATTTTTGTTGGGTTTTTTTTACATTTTTGCATTTTAACTGTGAACTACCCAAAGTACAACAACACCTGAACAGGACTCCTGAAAAGGCACCGAATGCCTAATGGCTGGATTAATACCAAATATATAAATGATAGCAAACCTTAGCAAATCTAACCTTAGTAAGTAACTGTCACAAAGTTTAGTGATGGTCACTCAGCATTATCTTCTGGAAGGACCTAGTGAGGTAACATTGAAACCTTCACAAAATGATGCTGTTCAATCCTGCTCTAATTGAAACTTGAGATTTCTGTGTGTGGCCAAGATGGAGAAAGTGCCGCCCCCAGACAAACTTTTGACACCCATGAAGCCTCCATCATTGTCCCAAATGAACCTTTTGAGCTTTTTTTGGCACCCCAAATGCATGCAGACATAAGAACTAAAATCTAAGAACTAAGATCTAAAAGTTATCCAAAACAATGGACCTTGATATAAAAGGCCAGTGAGTGGACAGTGAACACAAGTACTTGCTAATCTTCAGATGAAGATATTCCAAATTTCTTTTTAGATATATTCTTTCCTTTAAATGCAGGATGTTGTTGGCATCAGTCAGTCCCTATTTCAGAGATGTTTTCATCCATTCCAACAATGAATCACAGTGTGGAGAGATCCAACTCAAGGATATGGCTGCCTCCACAATTCACAGCCTGCTAGAGTATCTCTACACAGAGGAGTTGTCACTCACAGCAGACACTGCCCAGGACCTCTTCACTGCAGCTAGCAAGCTCCAGATTCTTCCACTGAAAGAAACAGCTGGAAGGTAATGCAGTATGTTCTTGTTTTAATCTATGCTATAAACCTCCTTCGGTCCTATATTGTATATTCTGGAACAGTTCCTGAATTCTGATGCCTTTCCAAGACACATCTTTAGTCCTGTTTAAAGGGTAGTGGTCATGGTTGTGGTAGTCCTGGACCTATTCCCTATATAAGATGATGTAATCAATGGAGCATGTATATCTGCACACAACTTTTCAGATGTGGTTTGGAAGAAAGGACTGATAAAGATTCAATAAATGTCTGGAATACATAACTTGATTTCCAGATTTCCAAGTGGAACATATGTAAATGGGAGACATCAAAATGTAACACTTTTGATAGAAATCTACTGTTAGAGACAGGAAATCTACTGTTTCTGCATCACATCTCCAAAAAGAAGTGTGGCCCTAGATGCTTGGTTTATATGTAGATTAAGATGTTCTGCCATCCTTTCCCCCATCATATTCTAAAACCAACTGCAAACATCATCACTGCTCCCTCCTCTAAATGAGGAAATTTAGGGTAAATAGTCATCCTCTTCTCCCCATCTCAGTTCAGAGCATGCCATGAAAAATCTGTATCAACCTTTCCCATCTCACCCCGCAAATTAGTTCCCTGTATATTCAGAGTTATTAAGTAGCAAGTTGTCCATCAAAATCTATGTCCAAGCCAACATGGTTGTCTTTCCTAGCAGTAATACACTATAGTTATTCTCCATATCCATGGATTCAAGCAACTGTGGATTGAAAATATTCAGAAAAAAAGGAGTACAGAACATCTCATATCTCCCCCGCCTCACCAGTGGCCTCACAAGAGGACATCAGCAGAAGCTGTTCTGCAGCACTCCTCAGATGAGACAGCAAGAGGGAGGACTAAAGGGAAGAAGACTCACACTAAGCTAAACTTTGTTGGAACATCATCCCATGACACACTGGCTGTCAGGATGAGGATTTGGGATTTAGGGGGAAGGGGCTCTTTGAACCAATCCCCTACAGATGCTGAGGGCAACTGTATCTTAGTCACCCTATTTTATTTGTAATCATATTCTCAAGTAATCACCAAATGACTGAGTCTGCATGGAGAGAATTTGGGACACTTCTGCTGAACCCTATGTTATCCATTTATATATGGAATAGGAAACTTAGTAAATGTTCATCAGATCTCCTGGGAATAGAACCCTGATAGCATGTGGTTAGCGGAGGCACAATGCTAGCAGGGGCCTGGTTATGATGATATAGCGCCATCAGATGAAACATTCATCTCTCTGTGCATCCCTGGTAAGAGGCTGATAACTAAAGGGGGCTTGATTTCCTTTCCTTACTCCATTAGTTCTATATATCCATTATTAATCGCATTCGTAATTAACTTCCATAGCATGCATTTTTTTTAAAAAAAGTTCTTTTTCTTTTTGAAAAGCCCAGCCTTCTACAATCACTGTGGGGTTCCGTCACTGTGGTGCCTTCTGAACAGTATTTGATCTCCCATCTCAAACAGAATTAACCCAAGAACATGATTTCATCTGAAAATCTTACTGGGAGAAAAGTCATTCATCAGCAAATTGCCACTCTGTATTTATTTCTATTTTGTTCAACAGGTTTCTTGAGATGAACATCTCCATGAGTAATTGCCTCAGCCTATACGGTCTGGCCCATCAACACAATCATCAAACTCTGATCCAAGCAGCCTCAGACTACATCAAGCAACACTTTGGACCCCTTTCTAAGCAAGATGCCTTCCTAAATCTGGAACACAGTGCTCTGAGCAACCTCATCACCTCAGACAGCCTGGAGGTACCATCTGAACTTGTCATTTACCATGCTGTGCGCAACTGGGTAGAGTTTGCAACTTCCACTCGTCTCCCAATGTTTAAGGAACTCCTAGGACATGTCCGCTTTCCACTGCTCACCCATGTGGAGCTCATTGATGTTCAGGCTGACATTGCAGAATATTACAGGCATGTGCGTTTGAGGTGGAAAGATTTGGATGGGGCAGGGCGGCTGAAAGAGAGTGGTGGGCTCCGGAAGGGAATGTTTGATGATTGTTTTGTGTGTTTAGAGGTCAATGAAAACAGGGCCCAGGATGGAGATGACTATGAATCTCACTTGCACTGTTTTGATCCCCATGCAGAGAAATGGGAAAAGTTGCCACCCACAAAATATCTTAGCTATTCTGGATGTGCACCTGTGGACTGCAAACTTTACTTATCTGGAGGCCAGAAGGATAATTCCACGTTTGTCAACACTCTGCATGAATACAACTCCTTGACCAGCCAATGGACACAGCTCCCATCCATGTCCACAGTCCGGGCACTCCACCCCTTTCTAGCTTGTGATAAGAAGCTCTATGCTCTAGGAGGCTGCAATGAATCTGGCCCTCTTTGTTCTGCTGAGGTTTTCAATGTGGTTCGAAATTCTTGGACTCCTATTTCTAACCTGCCCCTCTCCTTGATGTATCCTGCTTCAACTGTGCTCAGGAATAAGCTTTACCTCATAGGTGGGAAAGCCTCCAGGAGCTACAGGGGCCTTATTATTTATGACACAAACACCGACTGGTGGACTGAGATGTCCATGGAGTTTGCATGCTATGGCGCCACAGCTGTCTCATTTGGTATGGGGGTGTATGTTTTTGGTGGGTACACAGAGGAACGGGGCAATTTTCTGGCCCAAGGTGCACTGGCTACTGATGAGGCTCCTTGCTGCACTAAAGGAAGCTTTTACCTCAATGAGAATGGCAGAGTGAGCTGGGAAATCAGAATCCCGGAGTTGCCTGTGGCTTTAGCCTTTGCTTGTGCTGTTGAGTGGCAAGGCAAGATTTTCCTCTTAGCAGGTAAAGATGAGAATTGTTCATATAACACAAGTTACAGCTGGGTCCCAGAGGACACAAGTTGGACTCGGTGCCCAGAGGAGATCCCTGTTAGCAACGAGGCACAAATTGTCAGTTGTGTAATCCTCAAGATGCCCAAAAAGCCACTCCGATCCCTTCTGCTAGAGACAGTGGCATCCTCAGCTGTCATTGGGGTGGATAACACCAAGAGGGGAGGACAACCAAGCTCTTCCGCTAGACAGAGCTGCAGCCTTAACTGCTGTTGGGGTGGAAGATAATCTAAAACATTTTCCGTTATATTAGCCCTTCTGTTTTCAGGCAATAGATTCCCATCAGAGAAGTCTATCTCTTCCTAAAGTAAGACTTTCCTTTTGTTCTCAGTTCTTATTTAGTTCAAGATAATTATGGTAGAACTTGAGATTGAACAAGATGGTTGAATAAACATCCCCTATACACACACACTTCTGTGCTATTCACTCTTGCTACTATTACATCTGTGCTAGACTCTTATTAAAAGGACTCCTAAAGTCTGCTTGAATTTCTGCCTTGTTTCTTGTCCATCCCTTTAGCTCAGATGGGAACAGCTTCATTAGTGCATTTATTCATTGCATATTTCCACTGAAGAACTCCAAGTGGCTTACTTGTCAGCTCTCAAACAAGCAATGCAAGGCTGGGCAAGCTGAAATCCAATAGAAAAGTGCTATGAGTCCATTCGTAGCATAGGGAACATGTAGCACCAGTTGTTGTTGTACTGTAACTCCAATTATGCTTTACTATCGGCTCATCTCTATAAAGGGTGATGGGTCTGAATCTTATTTTATAACTCAACTACAGAACACCCTTGACTATTTATGGCTAGTGGGCCGATGCATCTACTCCAGGTTTTAGAGCAGGGGTCCTCAAGCTAAGGCCCAGGGGCTGGATATAGCCCTCCAAGGTCATTTACACGGCCCTCACTCAGGGTCAACTTAAGTCTGAAATTACTTGAAAGCACACAATGACAACAACAACAACAACAACAACAACAACAACAACAACAACAATCCTATCTCATCAGCCAAAAGCAGGTCCACACTTCCCATTGAAATACTAATAAGTTTATTTTTAAAAAAATTGTTCTTCATTTCAATTATTGTATTGTTTTAAAGTTGTTTTTTGCACTACAAATAAGATATGTTCAGTGTGCATAGGAATTGATTCACCTTCTTTTTTTTTTCAAATTATAATCCGGCCCTCCAACAGTTTGAGGGACGGTGACCTAGCCCTCTGCTTAAAAAGTTTGAGGAACCTGTTTTAGTCATAAAGGAGCTGTCCAAAGTGCTGAAGTCATTTGGATTAGACAGTTTGGCACCTCTGATATCTTCTCTAAAGCTTGGGTCAAGAATAGATCAAGAATAGGGCTCCACAGTCACCTACAGACCCACCAGAACACTGATCCTGGAAGACTATCCTACTCGGCCAATGAGGGATCGCTTAAGTAAAGCCTGGGTTAAAACCCATAATAAATTCCCCACCATACTGACATTAGAGCCACCAGCTGCCACTGGTATTGTCAGCATTAAGGAGCAGGTTAAATGGACTGTTAAAACTGGAAATAACCAGTATGTTCAGGACTTTGCCTGCAACTCTTCAAAATCTTCCAGAATTCTTGTATTGTGAAATGGCAACTTTTCTAAAACCATGGCATACAAATCCAAAACTTTTCCTAGTGAAGTTTCCCAAGCTTCTGGATGTGTGTAAGATTGGGTGGGGAGGGGAGCAAAGTTATCCACAGGTGGTAGATGTTTACATGTGTAGGCTCCCTGGAATGATCCCTAATTGAACAAAATTGCAATCATAATGCTGCAAAAAGAGGCTAGAGTCACGTTTCTCTCTGAATAGGACATGTTGCATTGATTACAAAGTAGCAGGTGTGTCTTCCAAATTTTGACGTTACCTGGCAAGTCCACCACCTCCAAAACTTCACAGATGAAAACTAGCACATGTGTGACCAATTCACATCAGAGTATGATAAAGATTATCATTAGTAATAAGGAATGATATACAAACAAGCTAGGAGAGGATGCAACCAATTACTTTTGCTTAACTCCACTGGAAAGGTCACAATTCATCCCCTTCTTTCATCTCAACAACAACAACAACAAAAATAAATAAATAAATAAATAAACTTTATTTCTATACCGCTTATCTCCCTGAAGGGACTTAGGGCCATTTACAAGAGAAAATTGGCAAACATTCAATGCCGGCATGATATAACAAACAGATCAAACTATAAACAATAAAATAAACAACTTCAGGTGTACTTGCAGAATAACTCAAAAATAATAAACTTAGAAATTTAAATATATAAATCAAACATTTAGGACATGTTTACTACTAGATCTAATAATAGCAAACTGTTAAAACATTAAATGTAAAAAGGCATTTACAAGTCAACAGGGCTGAGGTAGTGTCTGAGTCAGAGTGTTTAAGTGCTGGCTGAATTAAAATTATTATATTGCACCATTCCACAAGTTAAAAACGACCTATTTGGGTCTAGTTAACATCCCCCTCTCACACCAATCTCCTAATTTCCAGTTCCCTTTCCATAATGTCCACTCCCATTCTTTATGCCCTCCCAGAGATTCCCAGATCTCCACAATTAATCTCACCCTTTTAAGTGAATGGAGTACAAACTACTTTTGCAATCTGATCAATTTGCACCAGTGTAAACAATATGAGAACAAAGGAGGTATGTGGAAAGAGGAAAAGGGAACAGAGACATTTTTATAACAGCTGGAAAAGTGAGACAACAGAGGATTAATTGGGACTGTCGCTGTCAAATGAGGACAATTGAAGGAGAAGGCCATATTGATCACAACCCCCAGCACCCCTAGACAATATAGGCAATGCTTAATTCTGCGTGCATCTACACTGTAGCATGGATGAAGTCTGATACTCCCTGAACTGCCATGGCTCAATGCTTAGCAATCATGGGAATTGTATTTTGCTGAAGCACCAGCACTCTTTGGCAGAGAAAGCCAAAGGTCTTATAGAATCATAGAATCATAGAGTTGGAAGATACCTCATGGGCCATCCAGTCCAACCCCCTGCCAAGAAGCAGGAAAATCACATTCAAAGCACCCCCAACAGATGGCCATCCAACCTCTGTTTAAAAGCCTCCAAAGAACCACACTCCGGGGCAGAGAGTTCTACTGTTGAACAGCTCTCACAGTCAGGAATTTCTTCCTGATGTTCAGATGGAATCTCCTCTCTTGTAGTTTGAAGCCATTGTTCCGTGTCCTAGTCTCCAGGGCAGCAGAAAACAAGCTTGCTCCCTCCTCCCTGTGACTGCCTCTCACATATTTGTATATGGCTATCATGTCTCCTTTCAGCCTTCTCTTCTGAGGCTAAACATACCCAGGTCTTTAAGCTGCTCCTCACAAGACTTGTTCTCCAGACCCTTAGAATCATAGAATCAAAGAGTTGGAAGAGACCTCATGGGTCATCCAGTCCAACCCCCTACCAAGAAGCAGGAATATTGCATTCAAATCACCCCTGACAGATGGCCATCCAGCCTCTGTTTAAAAGCTTCCAAAGAAGGAGCCTCCACCACACTCTGGGGCAGAGAGTTCCACTGCTGAATGGCTCTCACAGTCAGGAAGTTCTTCCTCATGTTCAGATGGAATCTCCTCTTGTAGTTTGAAGCCATTGTTCCGCGTCCTAGTCTCCAGGGAAGCAGAAAACAAGCTTGCTCCCTCCTCCCTGTGGCTTCCTCCACATATTTATACATGGCTATCATATCCCCTCTCAGCCTTCTCTTCTTCAGGCTAAACATGCCCATCTCCTTAAGCCGCTCCTCATAGGGCTTGTTCTCCAGACCCTTGATCATTTTAGTCGCCCTCCTCTGGACACATTCCAGCTTGTCAATATCTCTCTTGAATTGTGGTGCCCAGAATTGGACACAATATTCCAGGTGTGGTCTAACCAAAGTGGAATAGAGCATGGGGAGCATGACTTCCCTAGATCTAGACACTGTGGTCCTATTGATGCAGGCCAAAATCCCATTGGCTTTTTTTGCCGCCACATCACATTGTTGGCTCATGTTTAACTTGTTGTCCATGAGGACTCCAAGATCTTTTTCACACGTACTGCTCTCGAGCCAGGCATCCCCCATTCTGCATCTTTGCATTTCGTTTTTCCTGCCAAAGTGGAGTATCTTGCATTTGTCACTGTTGAACTTCATTTTGTTATTTTGGCTCATCTCTCTAATCTGTCAAGATCGTTTTGAATTCTGCTCCTGTCCTCTGGAGTATTGGCTATCCCTCCCAATTTGGTGTCGTCTGCAAACTTGATGATCCTGCCTTCTAACCCTTCATCTAAGTCATTAATAAAGATGTTGAACAGGACCGGGCCCAGGACGGAACCCTGCGGCACTCCACTCGTCACTTCTTTCCAGGATGAAGAGGAAGCATTGGTGTTCATTTTAGGTGCCCTCCTCTGGACACATTCCAGCTTGTTGATATCTCTCTTCAACTGTGGACACAATATTCTAGGTGTGGTCTGAACAAGGCAGAATAGAAGGGTAGCATGATTTCCCTGGATCTAGACACTAGACTCCTATTGATGCAGGCAAAATCCCATTGGCTTTTTTTGCTGCTGCATCACATTGTTGGCTCATGTTTAACTTGTTGTCCACAAGGACTCCAAGATCTTTTTCACATGTACTACTCTCAAGCCATGCATTCCCCATTCTGTAACTTTGCATTGTAAAACTACAACTCTCGAAATTCCATAGCATTAACCCATGGTAATTAAAGTGGTATCAAATTGCATTAATTCTACAGTATAGCTGCACCCTCTGTCTAATAGCAAAGTCATCTCTGGTTGATCCTCATGATTCTCAGAACTCCTAAGAATCATGTGTTCCAACATGGCACTTTTGAAATGCTCTCTTGTTTGAAATTGGAACATGATGGTTAAAAATCAGAAATATACGTTTTTAGTAGGGCAACCTCCTGAACAATAGATGCTGAAAGCCCCGCAGAATTGTCCAATCAGTATGTATCCTGGTAAGAGGCACACCTTAATTGAATGCACATTTCTACAGCCTAGGCTTTTAACTCCGCAAAGTTGAGGTTTTTACTCTTAGTCCATCTGTTTGATGTACTTCCAACACAGCAGCAGCAGCGGGGAGAGATCCCATCGCTGTGAGGCTATGCAATCAAACAGACACCGGAAGCTTGCTGCTGGCTTTAGCTCACACTCCTGTCAAGGATTTCGCCATGTCAACCAATTA